ACAGCTATAAAGACAATCCAGTAGTGCTGAATTTTTGATATCGTTGCTAGTACGTGATAACTGAGGGCTAATTGGAACTAAAAAGGCTAGTTATTTTGTCAGACCAAAGTGCATTAGTTCCAGTCAATGTCTTTCTTGTCTTGTGCATTTTTAAACTGCTACAACGGTGATAAAAAGTCTAACTTTATCTAATAACATCAGGAGAGAACAGATCATCTGGTCATTTTATATTACTCAAAGCATCACAAATGTAAAAGGTGTCTAATTGCTCATATTTTCATGCAGTGACCAATTAGTATGTTTACTGATATTAAGTATGCACGGTTGGGTATAAATCCACAGGCATCATCTGAATTATCATGAATGCAGCCTTTCATAACCTTTACAGAGGAAAACGACTGAAAACAAAGATTAAATACAATTATTTACTCAATACACCTTATTGTACTTCCAGGGGAAAGTAAGCCCCTTTTTCATATTCTTAGGGAATATGCATTTTCCCACACATTTAAATAATCTTCTTGCTGAATCAAGGAAATCACAATGGTTGTTAAAACCTCATATGATAAAGGAGCTATGCCTTGGCATTTTATTATTTTGCTTCACATATTCCGATTAATGCATTTGCATTCAGGATGGATTTATTAGCTGTGATCTGCCATATATATATATATATATATATATATATATATATATATATATATTCTGTATTCATCTCTCATTCATTTTTGGTGCTTCTGTAAGAATAGTATCCATTTTGTTTATGAGGTTAAGTACTAATATTAACTAATATTAATTAAGATCTCTGAACTAGGGCTAAGAACTAATATTTTAATAAAAAGAGGCAGTCAGTCCCCAGAGTGGCTGGGGAAACCCAGCTAGATGGGCGGGGTATAAATAAATTATTATTATTATTATTATTATTATTATTATTAAACGGGTCATGATGGGGGAAACAGAAGCTTCCAATTATGCTTTAAAAACCAAGCACATAATTTGGCCAAAGCGGGTGGGTTAAACCACAGAACCAAGGACTTGCCGATCAGAAGGTCAGCGGTTCGAATCCCCACAACGGGGTGAGCTCCCGTTGCTCGGTCCCTGCTCCTGCTCAAAAGCACATCAAAGTGCAAGTAGATAAATAGGTACCACTCCGGCGGGAAGGTAAATGGCATTTCCGTACGCTGCTCTGGTTCGCCAGAAGCAGCTTAGTCATGCTGGCCACATGACTCGGAAGCTGTACGCTGGCTCCCTCGGCCAATAAAGCAAGATGAGTGCCACAACTCCAGAGTCGGCCACGACTGGATTTAATGGTCAGAGGTCCCTTTACCTTTTTAAACACATTTAACAAAGCAATCCAAACTATGGAGTAAATTATGCTGGTGTAACTTACCCTCCAAACTCCATTCAGGAGTGGTATGCTGCCAGTTGAGCTGGCTCAAACCCAGGAGAAAACAAGCCTTTACACCACCCTTTTTGCCAGTGTAAATTCACTGGGTTGCACCAGGCCAAGCTGAAGAGTTTGGAACAGGGTTAGGTTTCTCCCTGCTCTGTCGCCACAACACCCAGGGCACTGGCCAATAACGTCTCCTTTTCAAGATTTACCCTGCCTTTGGCTCAGCCAAGTGAGCCCCAACTAAGCCAGGATGGAGAACTTACCCCAAGGTATCTCCAGCTCAGGTGGAATGAAGGACTTCATCCAGCGTAGCCCTGGCCAGGCTGGGCCACCAATGAGGTAAGATGCAGCAACAACCTCAGGCAGCAGGCTCCACGGGGCAGCAGATCCTGATATAGATCATTATTCCTCCCCCCTTGTTCCTGTTGCAGATCATCCCTCGGCCCTTCTTCCCTGGTGGGGAGGATGCACCATTTAGTGGTAAATCTTGGGCAACCAAAATGTCTTGGGCAGGCCCTGGTTCAGCCAGAGACACTGCCTAGTCCAAACTTTGCTTGTCCCAACTGCCCTTGGGCTTGGATTGCTTCCCAAATCCCATTCATTTCAAGGAGACAAGTTTAACTCTCCTAGTCAAATCAGTGGGACTCAAAATTGGCAGGACTCAAAATTGGCTGGATCATTTCCTAAACGGTTCCCTCCCCCCATTTGTGTATTATCAGATTTTTTTATTATAGGTAACTAAAAAGATGTAAAGGCAGCCTTGGACAGCTGGGGGGTAAGCGTTGTTGACAACAGTGTTACGTTGTTCAGCTCTTTCTTTCTTCTTTTGGTCCAAAAAAAGAAGAAAACTGAATCTGAGTTTAAGAGGGAAGAGATTGTTTCCCTTCGTGTATCTTACTGGATAGCTTAGTTGGTTAGAACATGGTGCTGGTAACGCCAAGGTTGCAGGTTTGATCCTGCAAATTCCTGCAATGCAGGGGGTTGGACTAGATGATCGTCAGGGTCCCTTCCAACTCTACAATTCTATCATTCCACCTTTCTCCAGAGACTGAAAATACAACCCATTGTCTGTGCACAATAATATAGCTCTATTCATACATGAAAACCCACTATATGCATAAGATGCTGCTAAAGGATTCAAACTATGGATCTAAACCAGGCATGGCCAAACTTAGCCGTCCAGATGTTTTGGGACTACAACTCCCATCCTCCCTAGCTAACAGGACCAGTGGTCAGGGATGATGGGAATTGTAGTCCCAAAACATCTGGAGGGCCAAGTTTGGCCATGCCTGAGTCACAGAACTGGTTGCACAACTAGATCCCAAAACTGCAGCAAGAGACTAACAAAATTTTGCTTTGCTCATGGTAGTTCCCCTCACTGCTGTGTTGGGAGGAGGAGTCTTCAATTCAGTATTTACCAGCTCCTAATTCCAGTTTTTGGAAAAGAGCTCTAACCATTAAGGACTCAGGGTCCAAATATTTTCCCAGCTTAAGCTGATTGCTGCACACACACACACACACACGATATTTTGTTTCAGAAACTTATTCTATACATAAGCATGTGATTTAAACTATTATATTATGAAAGGCTGTCTTATAAACACACTTACAGTCCTAGTCTGTGCTTTTTTTCTAAAAAAAAAAGTTCAGGGGTACTCTCATTTTGACTCAAGAAAATCACCATTTTATTGTTCAAATTGGGAAAAATAAATACAGAAAATGGACATTCACAAAATGTTTAGGGGTCTGCGTACCCCTGCATACCCCCAGAAAAAAAGCACTGGTCCTAGTCACTTGGGAGTCCCACTGACACTAGTGGATTTAGCAGTGTATTATCAGTGGTAAGACTGCACCCTAAAAACAGGACATTTAAAAGAAAACACAGTTGAGACCCTTCTAATGTGTTCTGTCCCATTGCCTTTCATAATGGCTGCTTACCTGGCCACCTTGGGAGCAACGCTGGGGCTAAGCAGCCAGCTGTGGGGAATGGAAACAAAATCAGGATCCTGGGTGGTTTTAATGGCGAAATAATATTGTCTAGGAAAGGGCTATTATTATGGTAGCTAGAACAAACCTCATACACACGACCTCTTCAAAACAGATCTGTGTACCTTTTTTCCTTTTTTTAAGTTGCCTCTTCCTAAACTAAAATAAAAAGCAGCCACAGATTACTGCTACTTTCTCAAGTTCACTTAAAAGTACAATATATAAGCTTTGTTTTATATAATTAGATTAAAATTGAATCATTACAAGATTTGCATTTTTGTTGCCAAGACTGAAACCTTTTTCTGAAATAGTCAAAGAAGAAAACCAAGCTTTTATCTAGAAAGGGAGTTCTTGAATTTTAATAAACCAATAACAGTGTTATTGTTGGACAGGTAATAATTGTCTCCATATAAACTGAAAAATATTGTTTGGGGTGATTAATATACAAAGCTGCATTATGCATTTGGGAGTGTTGATGCATAATTTTTAGTTCTAATGTTATTATGTAATTGAGAGAACATGTTCATTTGCTCTAATAACTACTAAGATGCACTTAATAAAATGAAATGTAATAATACTTGTAATTTAATCTATTCATGGAAGTAATTTTAAAAGTCTACTATTCTCCTTAATGTAGATAACATTCATAATTTATAAAGTGTTGTGATGCCGAATTGACAATGCCATTGTTTTTTCCACTCTGAGATGATTCTGCAGCCTTCATTATCTGCATACCAACCTCAGGATTATCAAGGGCAAACAAAAGATAATTAACACCAGAAATAGGCAAATGCAGAAGCTACTGACTGAGGTTTTTCATTTAATGCAATACCTCAGAAAACCTGGGAAATGGAGTAACTGTTAAAAACCATTTTCCCCAATGCAGAAAAACACTTTTTATGCATATTTAAGTTTGTAGACTTAAAATGATATTTTGGTTCTAAAGATTATTTCTCAAAAGACTAATTGCTATAATCTCTACTTACCACCCGCATTATGCCAGTAGAAAAAAAGAAAGTATTATTCAAAATAGAGAATTTCAATGCTTTACACTGGACTATTGTCTACAGTAGCAGACTCATAGTAAGGACACCTGTGCTATATATATTTACACATTTGCCCCCTGACTTTTGAAATTATATTTGTTTTTGGGTGCCTCGTTTTCCATGAGGACAAACAGGCCGAACAGAAGAACCTGTAAAGAGTGGTGAGTTCTTGAGTTAAAGCTTATATGAGTGCATGTGGGGGGGGGGTCTCATCTATTGTCACTAGGCAATAAAATAAAATAAACGGAAACATGGAAATTCTAAATCTTATTAATTTATTTGGGGAGGAAGTATAAATAAAAACTTGACACAACTTAGTTCCTCAGTTACGGGCTATGATCTAGAAAGCCTCATGCAGTAATTGGGAAGAGGATAAAGATTTGGAAGCGCTTTGTGCTTTACACCATCCTCAACTGCAACTTGACTAATACAGGTAGTATTACCTGTATTTCACATGGGGGTTCCATTCCCGGCCCTCTGAAGAGCCTCGTCCCATTTCGTGCCACCCTCTTCCAGGTCCCAAAATGACATACAAGTCACAATTGTGTGTCAACTGTACTCGCTTGCATGAGTAATTCCTTATTGTAGTACCTCGTTTACTCCTGGATTGCATTATATCGCTTGAGCTGCTCTGGATAGAGAATTGCAACTTGTCTTGGATGGGATTTCACTCCCTGTAAAATACAAGGTTCACCTCTTTGGAGTACTTCTGGATTTGGCACAAACTAGTTAGGGACGCGGGTGGCGCTGTGGGTTAAACCACAGAGCCTAGGACTTGCCGATCCTAGGTGGGCGGTTCGAATCCCCGCGACGGGGTGAGCTCCCATTGTTCGGTCCCTGCTCCTGCCCACCTAGCAGTTCAAAAGCATGTCAAAGTGCAAGTAGATAAATAGGTACCGCTCCAGAGGGAAGGTAAACGGTGTTTCTGTGTGCTGCTCTGGTTCGCCAGAAGCGGCTTAGTCATGCTGGCCACATGACCCGGAAGCTGTCTGCAGACAAACACCGGCTCCCTCGGCCTATAAAGCAAGATGAGCACCGCAACCCCAGAGTCGTCCGTGACTGGACCTAATGGTCAGGGGTCCCTTTACCTTTTTAATGAGCAGCTGGGGCCACAATAACATACATCAGCTTAATCTGATATGCCAGTTTGTTTCTTTATAAAGTTTGTGGACCTCTTTTCACCACCGCTGTGGACCCAAAGCAGTTTCTAACACAAGATAAACATCACAGTGCTTAAGACAAAACGGCAGCTAAGACACAAATTAGCAGCAGCAGAATAATAATACTACGAAGAATCCTGCATTACACAGCAGGCTCAGCCAAACCCTCCGAAAGCCTGGAAAAACAGATGTGTTTTAATTAAGCAACAGAGGCTCACCAGTGATGTCGCCATCTGTGCCTCACCTAGACAGAGCGGACCTTGCCAGTTGCCAGTCTACGAGCGAGACCCAGACTGGACTACTGCAACGTGTTGTGTGTGAGGCTGCCTTTAACAATCATTCAGAAATTGTTTATACCTTCAGCTGGTATAAAAGGCAGACTTCTGTTAAGCAAACAGAAGATATTGCACCAGGTTAGTACCAGTTGTTTCTGGATCCAATTTAAAGTGCTGATTATGAAAGCCTGGGACCAGGTTAATTAAAGGACCATCTACACCTGTACAAGCCTGAATATTAAGGTATGTATTTGAAGCCCTGTCGAGATGCCTGCCAGCACAGGAAACTGGGTTGGCGAAAACAAAGCCCATGGTGGCCCAACAATTGTGAAATACAATCTCTAGAGATATTAAGATGGCCCCAGTCTTGGATACTCTCAAACAGGCCTTTTTACATTGACTTGCAACAACTCTGGCTGGGGATCTGATAGTGTGCTCTGGATTTGGTGGCTGCACTTTTTAATGTTGGACTGCACTTTGTTCTGAATTTTAATAATATGGGGATACACTGAAATGACTGAGATGGTATTAAATCATATTTATTGTACTTTATTGTCGTACTTTGATATAAGAGCCTTTGGAAGAATTTGATTATTGAAGGGTGGTATGGCAATTGATTGAATAAATGTATGTTTTGAAATTGATTGAAGCGAATGAAGACAAAATATAACCATTATTTGCATAAAATATATATTTGGGCCAGTGAAACATCAGAGACAAATCAAAGCCAGTTAATTGACCATATATAACATGGATTTAAAGAGAATGCAAGCAGAATTCTTAATAGACAAAACAGTTAATGCTTACAGAAATGATATTAGCATTGCTAAGTCAAATATTAAACCACAGCTTCTCAGACTCAGTATCCGGATTGTAACATGAATAGTAGTGGTTCCTTGCCGAACTTGTTTTGAGCTAGCGAGGTTAGGTAATACTGTATAAAACAGTAATATTGTATATAGAACCCGCAATTCACAAGACCATGTCTATGAAGTTATAATGGTTATGAAACGGCAAATATCTGCAAATACTTCCTGCTTCTCTGTGAATAATGGGAACTCTATGTATTTGCTCTTCTCTAAATCCCACCTATCATGGGATAGAGTTGCCAACTGGACAAGAAAAAAACCAAAGCTGGCCTGTTCCTGAGCCTTTAGAAGCAGCTCAAGGTGAGGAATCAGCAGGGACAAATAAACATTATCACTTCCTTCTACTAGAGCCTCAACAACTGACTTGGTTAGAGCATGGTACTGATAATGCCAAGGTTGCAGGTTCAATCCCTGTATGGTGCAGCTGCATTGCAGGGGGTTGGACTGGATGATCCACAGGGTCCCTTCCAACTCTACAATTATATTATTCTATACTGCTGAAGAGGGCTTGGTTAAAAAGCATTCAACCCTAATCCAAACATAGAAAGATGCAAACCTGAATCTGTCACAGGGTTCCAAACTTCTGCACAGAAATCACACTTTTAAACTCATGTGGCCCCTGTCCTTCTCCACTAAAAACTCACTTCAAAATTAAGTTGATCTGTAGGTAACTTTCAGTAACTAGGACTCCCTCTTCCTCCCTAGGACTGCCTCCCACTAAGAACCCCAGATCTGCCCTGTGAGTACTCAATGAAAGTCACATGTTCTGCCCAACTTAAAACCAGTGTTGGTGTGCGGACAAAGCTCATAGATATATTAACTATGGCTAGCTGACGAGTGTGGCGCTGGGGTCTAAACCACTGAGCCTCTTGGGCTTCCGATCGGAAGGTCAGCGGTTTGAATCCCCGCGACTAGGTGAGCTCCTGTTGCTCTGTCCCAGCTCCTGCCAACCTGGCAGTGCAAAAGAACACCCGTGCAAGTAGATAAATAGGTACCTCTGCAGCAGGAAGGTAAATGGCATTTCCGTGCACTCTGATTTCCATCATGGTGTCCCGTTGCACCAGAAGCAGTTTAGTCATGCTGGCCACATGACCCGGAAAGCTGTCTGTGGACAAACGCCAGCCCCCTCAGCCTGAGTGAGATGAGCGCTGCAACGCCATAGTCGCCTTTGACTGGACCTAACCATCCAGGGGTCCTTTACCTTTTTACCTTTAGTAAGAAATGTAATCAGCTCTAGTTAACATACTTCCAAAACATCTCACTTAGCCACACTATGTTATTGTGATGAATGTTGGGTTTCTGTGTACCGGGACTGGATTAAATAAAGGGATCATATCCAGGTGGCTGCCAACCTGCCACAATAAACGAGCCTTTCCACACTTTGCCATCATCCTGAATTTATTAAAAAGCTATTAAAATTACAAACTACCCAACGCAGCGCAATCCGGCGTTACGTAATTAAAACATATTGTTGCAGAATTGCTCCAGATGGCTTTGCTGGTTTTAAAGGCTCAAAGTTTATAGCTGCATTGCACTTTAGCGAATATAATGAGTATCACCATGTCCCAGGGCCTCTCAACAATTCTGATAAATTTATTTATTTACAAGCCCCCCCCCCCCCCCCCATAATGCTTTCTGCTCAGTGAGATGAAATGCGATACAAAACGAAAAACAATGTTAACGAATTGCAGGCAGCAGGGGAATTAAAGAAGCACCAAATGCCCTTTTGTGGTAAATCGGAAGCTGCCAAATAAAATAAAATAAAAATTACATGTTTACGTTTAAAAGGTGCAACTGTGAGGAAGTTACAGTACAATAAGCAAAAATATCCTACTTCAAGCATCTCCTAAGCTGTCAGGTTCTGGAGCTGAGCATTATCAGAATATCTATCCCTCAGTGCTGTACATACTTCAATGGCAGATCCTTTCCTAACATCAAAATGCCAATCTCCCCTTCTTGGGCAAGGTTCTTGGGCAAGTAGTCGTGGACCGGATCCAGGCGCTCTTGGAGGAAACTGATTTCAGCTGGGGTTTAGGCACAGAAACTGCTCTGGATGCCCTGTATGGTGATCTCTTGCTGAGGGAGAGGCAGGGAAAATGTGTCCCTGTAATTTATCCTCACCCTCTCAGCAGCCTTCAATACCATCAACCATGGTATCCTTCTGCAGTGGCTGTCCGAGTTAGCAGTGGGTGGCACTGCTCTGTGGTGGTTCTAGTCATATAGGTATCTGTCCAAATAAAACAAATATCATATGACAAATATGCAAATGTGTGATATAGAAACCAATTTTGCTTCTATATACTTAATATTATACATTTTTAAAAGCTATTAAAAGATATATTCTAATTTTCACTGGCATTATGAGTTTATCTTTCCACATTTTCACAAGAGCAATTTTGCAGGTTTTTTTGCACATCTTTTAAAGTGTCTGCAGTATGCATGGTTTCATTTTGAAAGCTCACTGTAGTCTAGGATTTGCAGAGATTTGTATTAAATAAAAGGGAATACTTAATACTGAGCTATCACAGTGAGCCAAAATAACCTGTGCTCTTCATATCTGAATATTTTAAAGCAGCTCTTACCTTCACAATATATCTCCGATTACATTATTGCTATGGACTCAGATTCTCCATTCATTTGTTTTATCAAGAGCTTTTTTCCTCTTTTAATACGTATCTTTAAAAGAGAATGGGCCTTAAAAGACCTATTTCATAACCAGGGATTGCTCTTACAGGGATCTCCATAGATATTACATATATGTGTCTACAAGAACACATGTTTGTATTGACAAATGTGTGTATTAAAGAAAGCCATCTGAAGAGTTTGGAGTTCTTTCTTTCTTGCTGGTTCCTACAAATCTACACTCCTGTCCTCAGTTATATCACACTATTTATTTATTTATTATGCTGCTGCTAGCATTCTCTAGGCAGATTCTACTCCTACCCAACAAAATGAGAACAATGTGGAAGTAGATCTGTGCAGCATTTTCAAATTTGCAGTTGTTCCCTTCTTTACTCCCTTCTCTCAGACAAGGGATGTCAGTTGGTTTTGTATCTGATATGTATGAATTTATTCTAGCATCTTTCTTACACCAGAACTGCTCTTTTCAAAAGGCTGGGATCGGTGATGAACTTTTCCTTGTGAGCCACTGACCAATCTGATCAGAGAAGTTGGCCTGAGATCAGCCGCTGGAAAAATGGAAAACAAGCTCATGGGAAGAGCCTGCAGGATCAGGCCAATGCCCCATCTAGTCCAGCATACTGTTCTCACAGTGGCTAATCAGTTGCCTGCAAGAAACCCACAAACAGGATTCAAACATTTCCCTCTTTTTGTGGCTGCCAGCAACTGGTATTCAGAAGCAATACTGCCCGCAAACGTAAAGTTATTTTATCACGTCATATGCAAGGTACCTTAAGACCAGACTGAGATTTCAGCTACCCATTGTATCAAAAAGTTACATTGCATCCAACATTAATCATGGCCAGAGCAGACCCACTGGAATTAATGGGCATGACAAACTTCAGAAGGTCTACTTTGAGTAGAATTTAGCTGGATTCAATGCTATATCCAAAAGTTGTTGGGGTTTTTTAATCCAGCATTCTATCCTCTTCTAGTTTGTTCAAAAGAAAGAGCTTCATTCCATAGAGAATACAACAGACCAGGACTTAACCTTAATTAAGTCCCCCTTAAGCTGCAATCCGATATCTACTTAACCTGGGAATGAGCCGCAGTGAAATCAATGGGACTTACTTCCATATATAGTATTGCACTATTAAAGTTGCGCTATGCCTGGGCAGTGAATTACAAGAAGTCCTGTGCTGTGGCTGCTTTGGTGATTTCTGCTGCAATGCATGAAAATACTTGGAGGCAAAGGAGCAGATGTCCCATATGGATTCTTCATCAAGAATGCGGAAGCATTCTGTTGTTAAATTAAAAGCTTACAGTATTAGAAGGAAGGGATATTTTACTTTGATCATTCTGAGTGCTGCTGTGTACCCCTGGAGATTCCATGGCCCAGTCACTGCTGGGGCTTACCTCTGGCATACTATATCCTAGTTTTTAACAACAGCACATGCAACTCCCTGATCTACGTCATAAAATGTACACTCCAACTAAGACACCCAACCAGATTTCTGGGTGTGCAGTTAATAGTAAGTTCTGATTCTTAAAGTTGTATGCATGTGATTTCTCTCATGTAGCAATGAAGCTTAACCACCCAGTTCTAAGAATTTCCTCAGTAGTTTCTCGCTGCAAATTACAGGGTTTTTTTCCTGAACTATTCTAAATACTTGTCAGGACAGAAAGACAGGCAAACATTCCAGTACACCCTTTGGTGAACTACTGAAAATTGCCCTGCAGTTGCCTAGATCATTTCAGATAATCAGATGTTTGGATAAAAGTTATTTATACACTGGGCAGAGATAGTGAAAAATTAAAATGTCATGCAAAATCGCAGGGCTCCTTGGATGGATGTTCTCATGTCTTGCTAAGCATTAGCAGGTTCTTCTTACTCTCCTCACCACAGAAACTTCTGCAGTGGGAACCCGGTGGAACAGTGAAAGTTAATGGATACAGATATTGCTGGATATAAAATCTACAAAAATGGCACAGTTCTCTGTGATGTTGCTTTGCAAATTAAAGAATATGTATCGTTCAATCAATTAATAATCCAGTCTTAGAACAGCCTTATGTACAGAATCAGAGCAGAGGGGAAATACACAACAAAAGATGAAACTCTTTTCATTGAATGTCACCTAGATCCAATACGGTGATGCCAAAAGAAATAATACATCAGTAAAAATTAGTAAATGTAATAATAACTGTTGGTTTTAGCTACCCTGAATTTTAATGTAATAGTAAGTGGGGTCAGGTCCTTTTCCATCCCCCATGTGAGGCTTAATAAACAACAACAACCAACCCTCCAATTGACACTAACAATCAGGGAACTGTCTACCCGAGGTCCAGGGGCTGGCATAATTTTTGGCCTTTCTCAGGACATGTCCGGAGACACACTTCAGTCCACTGTGTGTGAAGCACTGCCAGTGGAAAGAGATCTGTAGCATCCAATGATCCTAGAAGCTTGGGAATGCTCTCTTAGGAGTTTTGCTCCTATACTATTGATTGATTTATTCATAATTTAGTGTGTGCAGTTGTTGTTTTTTAAAAAAATGCAAATTCTTTTGGAACAATATGCTGCAAGGCAGGTCAGAAATACTACAAACAAAAAGGGAAAATTCTCAAAAGTGAAAGGATTAGTTAAACAAAAGATGAACTCTAAGGACAAATCTCTCCAGAAGATCTGAAGGTTATTTAATCCTGGTATTGAAAGAGGCTCAAAGAACAATGGACCCAAAAGGCTGCCATCATGGTTAAACAGCAGTGTCATGGCAGCTATAAAAGCAGGAAGATTTTCTTTAAAAACA